GTGCCTGAAGGGTTTCGGGTGGTTCTCGTCGCCACGGCTGGTTGCGGCTGGGGAGGTTGGCCAGGATGCGGGGGTGGGGGCGGCGAAGAGGAGGGAGGAGTGAAAGGAGGACAAGGGGAAATCCTTCCAGGAGGGGGCAAGCAACGAGTGCGACAGCTGTTCGTACCATGGCACCGAAGCCACGGGAGGACAACGCAGATGCCTGCAGGGAGAGATGGCGCAGGCGGCGGTGTGGCAGTGGTTGAGCGGACGCTTGATTCATGTTAGTGAGGGCACAAGCGAAGATTGCCCATCGGTTGTTGAAAGTAGGTACTCCTGGATTCCCAGATTTCGATCTACTTTGAAAAGCGCCTTCCTACTGAAATGGTCAAGTGGCTTCACCTTTTTCGGTCCTCCTCAGGGAGCGGACGGAATCCAATCTACAGGCGGCCCGGATTAGTAGGTCGACCCTGCCAGATCAAGGGTACCTTCGTGTCCTGTGTCTTGCGACCCATGCCTCCTGCCTTTCTGTGGCCACGTGGCCCCCGGAAGGGTCTTCTGTCCTCTCGCGTGTCCTGCCCAATCAAGGCGGACTGCATTTTCAACGCCTTCCTACGTCATGTTTCTACCTACCTCTCCTGACCGATGGGTCATTTCTAGGCCTCCTAGATGGGGCCGAGTAGGAGGGGTCGGAGGATCGCGCCGCATCGCCGATGCATCGACGATGCAGTTCGATGTGGAGCCCGTGCTTTCCCACGCCGACGTCTTCGATGCATCGCCGACGTCGCCGATGCATCGCCGATGCATCGCCGATACATCGTCGATGCATTGGCGATGCGACGCGATCCTTCGACCCCACCTACTCGGACCCCATCTAGGAGGCCTCTATCATTTCGGTCGGGGCACGAGCGGAGGGCTCATTTTCTGACGGCCTGCCGCTCGTGCAGCGGTGCGCACGACCACGCGGGCCGGTGCATGACGAACGAGCAACACACACCCATATTCGTAGGGGGGTCGTTTGGAGGAGGACTGGCTATGTGTACGGGTGCGGGTTGTCGGACCCTGGGGAACGCTCCCGTTCGAGCGGGGACCCCCATCCGACAACACGCACCCATGGCCCTCTCCGACCACTCTATGGGTATGGGTGTGTGTTGTTGGTTCGTCAGTGCAGGGAGGGCCGGCACGCCCGAGGGCGCGCCGGCCGACGAGGCACGCGCTGTCACGGCGGCGGTCCGCGAGGGCACGCTTGCTCGCGCAGTGCGTGCGCAGGCGGCGGGGGCAAGGAGGCGGGGGCAGGCGCAGGAGGACGAGGAGGGGGGGAGGAGGAGGGGGGAGGGGGAGGAGGAGGAGGAGGAGGAGGAGGAGGAAGATGGAGGAGGAGGGAGGAGGATGAGGGGAGGAGGATGAGGGAATGTGAAGGGAGGAGGAAGGAGGAGGAGGAGGAGGAGGAGGAAGAGGAGGAGGGGAGGAGGAGGAGGAGAAGAAGGGGAATGAAAGAGGAGAGGCGGGGAGGAGGAGGAGCATTAGGAACATCAGGATCATTAGGAGGAGGAGGAGGAGGAGGAGGAGGAGGAGGAGCAGTGCAAACCCAAGACCCACCAACGGTATTGCAACACACGCTCCCTCCGAGCTCCCTCCTCCTAGCAGGGGTCCTTTCCGGCATCCTGGCTACGGGCTCGCTCGTCCAGCTCAGTCCTCGTCTTTTCCACGGCTGCTCCTCCTCGGCTCCCCCTGCGGTCCCCCTCGGTCCGCCTCGATCCTCGCTCCTCCTCGCTTCTCCCCGGTCCTCCTCGCTCCTCCCCAGTCCTCCTCGATCCTCCTCGATCCTCCTCGATCCCCTCCTCGATCCCCTCCTCGATCCCCTCCTCGATCCCCTCCTCGATCCTTCCTCCCTGCTCCCCGATCCCCGACCCTCCTCGACCCCCGAGGCCCGATCCTCCCCGATCCTCCTCGATCCGCCCCCGGGGGCTGCCCCTCCCTCCCCCCTCCCGCGCGGCCTCCCGCGCGAGGCGCGGGCGCTCCGCGACGGCGAGGCCCGCGGCCGGGAGCGGGACCGCCCGGCGGCCGCCGCCGCCGCGCGCCCGGGGCGCGCTCCCAGGGCTCGAGCCTCGAGCCTGGCTCCCCCTCGAATCCTCCTCGACCCTCCTCGACCCTCCTCGAGCCTCCTCGGTCCTCCTCGATCCTCCTCGGGTCTCCCCGATCCTCCCCGATCCTCCTCGCTCCCCCTCGAGCCTCCTCGATGCTCAACAAAAGTCACCCCAGCCCGACCCGAATTCGAAGGAACAGATCGGCATGAGCAAAAACTTTTGGCGCTCCGCGCGGATCCCCCCCAGCGGCGCCTCTGGACCCCCCTCCCGCGCGCTCCGAGCGCCAGGGAGGGGGGTCCAGCGCGGATCCACCTCAACCCGACCCGACGGCCCCAATTTGCCCTTCATTCCCAGTAGGTAGGGAGGGCGGGGGGAACATGGAAGAAAAGCACATATGGAGCCCCCCCAACCCGAAGTTCGGGTCTTCGGTTTGGGTTGGGGTGGTCTGGTAGGCAGTCAGACGCTCCAAGAGGGTCCCCAGACGGCCCCAAAGAGGGCCCCAAGACGCAACATTCGTTGGTTCCCATGGGATTCGCACGTTGGTTGGAGCTTCCGAGTTTCTTCAGCTCAGGAGGTAGACAACAGCCCACGAAGAATGAGCGAACACTCAAGACTGATCCGAGCCTCCAGACCGTATAAGAAGGCCCACGTCGTCGTCGTCGTCGTCGTCGTTGGAGTCCGGGTAGATGGAGTCGGAGGATCGTGTCGCATCGCCGACGCATCGGCGATGTGGCTCGATGCGGCGCCCGATCTTCTCCACGCCGACGGCGCCAACGCACCGCCGACGTCGCTGGGGCATCGCCGATGCCTCGGCGTTGCATTTCCGATGTGTTGGCGCTGCGGCGGGATCCTCCGATCCCAATTCCTCCGACCCCATCCACGAGGCCTCTACCGTCGTCATCGTCGTCGTCGTTCTCATCGTCGTTATCGACGTCGTCCTCATCGTCGTCATCGACGTCGTCGTCCTCGTCGTCGTCGTCGTCGTCGTCGTCGTCGTCCTCGTGGTCCTCGTCGTCGTCGTGATCGTCGAGCCTTCGAGGTCGCAGATTAAGCTGGGGCCTCGCCTGGGAGCGCTCCCGCCACCACGGCCGGGCTCCTTGTTCTCGAGCTGCTATAGCCAGAGCGCACCCCAGATGGAGCCGGGGGGGTCCTCGTCGGCGTCGGCGTCGTTCCCCTCTTCGATTTACCCCACACTTGTTTTTTCGTCGAATCGCCGAAGGAACAAGTAGCAGCCCACGAACGTTTTACTTGTTCCTTTCTAGATGCGACGAAACATCAATTTCGGGTGAAATCAATTATGCAGTTGATCCCCTACTCGACCTCTCTCCTCATCGCCCCAAAACTCCCCGCCCATAGTCGGCGTCGGCGTCGTTCTCCTCCTTTCTCCTCCTCCTCCTCCTCCTCCTCCTCTCCGCCGATTTCTCCCCCATCGTCGGCGTCGGCGTCGTTCTCCTATCTCCCCTCTCCCGAAATTCCTCCCCAATAGTCGGCTTCGGCGTCGTTATCCTCTCTCTCTCTCTCTCTCCTCCTTTCCCCAAATTCCTGCCCCGTGCCATCATGGTCAGTGCCGCGTCGTCCTCACCACATGCTTCCGATTCCCCCTCCGCTTCCTGCTCCTCGTCGTCTCCTCCTCCTTCACTGCATTTGTCATCTTTCGCGTCCACTGCATTTTACTGCACTTCACTGCGTGCGTCTCTCGTTGCGTTTATCCTGCGCGTGTGGCGCCCGAAGGATCGGTTCCGCGCGGAGGTTGCGGAGCTGGAGGAGCTGCTGGAGGGCGCGCCGTGCGCCCTTGCCTGTCTCTGGGCTGCGTCCAGAGGAGGATCTAAGTCAGAAGCCGCGCACCCCCCGCACACTGGCAATCCCGCGCTCGGGGATGCACGTGTGCAAGGTGGGTGCGTGCGTAGGCGCGTGCGTGCGTGTGCGTGTGCGTGTGCGTGCGTGCGTGCGTGTGTTTGTGTGTGTGTGCGTGTGTGCGTGTGCGCGAATGCGTGTGTGTGTGTGTGTGTGTGTGTGCGTGTGTGTGTGTGTGTGTGTGTGTGTGCGTGCGTGCGTGCGTGCGTGCGTGCGTGCGTGCGTGCGTGCGTGCGTGCGTGCGTGCGTGCGTGCGTGCATGTGTGTTTGTGTGGGTGTGTGCGTGTGTGCGTTTGTGTGTGTGCGTTTGTTTGCCTGCGTGTGTGTATGTGTGTTTGTGTGTGTTTGTGTGTGTGTGTTTGTGTGTGTGCGTGTGTGCGTGTGTGCTTGTGTGTATGCATATATGTGTGCGTGTGTTTATTTGTGTGCTTGTGTGTCTTTGTGTCTGTGTGTCTGTGTGCGTGTGTACGTCTATGCGCGTGTCAAGAAGGTGAGATGGCTTTTCTGTTGTTCACCCCGCCAAACGTCCGTGACCGGGGGGTTCGCCCACCCCCCTCCGCCCCCCGTCGCAGTATAACGGACGCACGCGGAGGCCGCCGTCGTCGCCGTCGTCGACGTCACCGTCGGACGTCTTGTCGTCGTCGTCGTTGTTGCCGTCGGCGCCGCCGCCGGCGCCGTCGTCGTCCTCCTCGTCGTCGTCCCCAACGTCGTCGTCGTGGGGTGGGGATCACTTTGCCGTCGTCGACGTTGTCATTCTCGCCGTTGACGTCGTCGTCGTTGTCGTCGTCCTCGTCGTCATCGTCGTCGTTATCGTCGTCGTCGTTATCGTCGTCGACGTCGACGTCGACGTCGACGTCGTCGTCGTCGTCGTCGTCTGCGAGGGCCTGGAAGGGCCTGCAGACGCCTTCAAAGTCCTGGAGATCTTCTCAGGCCTCTGGAGACTTCTCGAGACCTTCAGTGGCGGCCGCCGTCGTCGTCCTCGTCCTCGTTCTCGTCCTCCTCGTCGTCGTCGTCGTCCTTGTCCTCGTCGTCGTCGTCGTCGTTACCGTCGTCGTCGCTGGCGTCGTCGTCGTCGTTGTC